GTCCTCTGATGATGCTTGATTTCATGAGCCCTGGGGAGGCTGGTGTGTGTGTGGGGGGGCGGGGGGAGTATGGGGCTGCAGAGCACACAGGCCTCTCTTATTCCCAGGCTAGGAAAGTTGGCCCTGGAGGGAGCAGCCTGGGCATGGGCTTTTGCCTTTCCTTTTGTGTGACTCAGAAAGTTCCTGCCGCTACCATGCTGGCCTTGGCTGGAGTTCCTTTTAGACTTTTCTGCACTATTGTAGGCATTCGTTTTTCTCTAATGAATGTGTCCAAGTACGACAAGCAAAGGAGACCAGAAACCTTTTTTGTTTTTCAATACACAGTTCCCTGTAAGGGGGGCTAGCATTGCTTGAGACCCTTGGGTTTTTGCAGGTTGATTCTGTCCTGGGGGCCCCCAGAAGACCCTTGAAGACTATGTATTTCCTAGAATTTCACACTCTGGGGCGCGTCTTGCTGCCACAGCTGGCTCGCTCTCCACTTATTCCCACAGATCACTCTTGGCCAATATTATTTTTCCAGGGTCGACGTGAAACTCAGGTTTCATACCCAGCGCCTCGGCCACAGCAGGCCCCTTTATTGGTCTTTTTATTGGCTTCCTAGGATTGCTATGAACAGATGACTATGACAGAAATGGTCTGAAATGAAAAAAAGAAAAGAAAAATGTATGGTCTTGCAGTTCTAGATACCAGAGGCCCACAAATGGAGGTCCCAGCCGGGCGGGGTCCTCCGCAGTCCCATCATGCCCCTCTCCTCACTTCAGGTGGCCTCTGGCAATTGTGGGTGTTCCTTGGCGTGGGGAGGTCACCACAGAGCGCTTGCCCTGCCTCTCTCCGCATGCGCCTTTGGGCATCCTCCACCTGGGCCTTTGGAGGAAGGGCTCACCCCCAATCCAGAAGGACGCATCTGCAAAGACTTAATTTCCAAATAAGGCCATGTTCTGGGGTTCTAGGTGGACGTGGGTTTTAAGAAGATGGCACTCTGTCCACTCTTTCTTCTCTGCCAATAGACCCTCTTCCCACCCCACAGATCCTGTTGGAGTAGCTTTTCTCAAACCTCCCTTAGGAGGTATTCCAGAACCTTCCATGACACCCGACTGCTGACAGAATAAAGTCCTATCTCTCTAGCTCAGCTTTGGAGGGTCACCGGGGCCTGGCACATTCTGTCCAGGGCATGTGTACCCTCCCAGGTACCCGCGGAAGGTCTCCTACGTTGTTGAACATGTTGTCAGCGCTCGTCTTGTCTCCTGCCTTCGTTCTCCTCCTGCTGTTTAGAAACTTCCCTTGAGCACCCTGTCAACCTTTGGCAGCCTTCCTTTCCTAGGAGAGTCTCTGCAGCCGGTCCCGTATCGCAGACCGACTGCACGCCATGCTCTGGGGCCTTCCTCAGTCTAGGTTTGCTATTTGTCAAAGGATGACCCTGTGGGTTAGGCTTCTGTGTGTGTGTGTGTGTGTATGCGCGCACGCGCGTGTGCATGCACACACGCGGGGGGGGAGGGGAGGTTTGGATGACAATGACGTCTTGAATCCTATGGTTTCTTGGTAAATGGCCACAGATGCCACCTGTGCGGGGACCCCCTTTAGACCTGACACGCTCGGGGCTATTCATGTTGATGGATTACGCATGCTTCTTCTACCTCCTTGACAGCTAAAGCAGTCATGGAACGCGGTTCTGAGATGAAATGGGGTAAAAGAATTGCTGCTTTTTTCTTTTTTTTTTTTGAGATTCTGGGGCAGTGGATGGTCTTTCAGAGTTGAGAAGAGAGAGCTGAGGGAGGAAAGAAAAAATGCCAAGGCCAAGAGGTGCTGGGGAAAATATAGAGTGGGGGCGGGGAGAAGGCCACCATTCTCTTCCTCCACTGGGCAGTTGGCTACCCACATGGCAGCCGGCATCGGGCTGAAGGAGGAAAAAGGAGAAGACAAGCAGGAAAAAAAAAGAGAGCGATGTCAGCCCCCAAATTAGCTTTGATAGATGCTCTGAAAACTTGGAACCCCAAGGACGTTTCTCTTGCCATGTCTGTTGTTAGAGTCTTTTGCTAGTAGCCAGGAAACAAACAATATGATTGCAGGGTCTTACTGATGCTGAAGTAGGTTTAGGAACTCAAGCTAACGCGAACACCTGGGGGAAGCCACGGCCTCCGGAAGGGTCCATGGGCCACTCGTAACCATAGCTCTGATCATAATCACAGCTCCTAAATCATAGTGCTGATCTTGTCACTTTGCCTCCTAGCGCTGCATGCCTGGGTTTACCTGGTTAGGTTCAGAAAAAAACAAAACAACAAAACCTATCCTACTATAGAACAGACATGCCCGGAACTCATTAAGGTGATTTTTTTTTTTTTTTTTTGTAGACCTTCCACTTGAAAGGTATGTGAAAATACCTCCCACCAGGTGGCCAGTTTGGCCATTTCCAAAGTCAATATTCAACGCAAGAGGGAGACATTAGTTGCGTTTCCTTTTCCAGTAAGTCTTCTGTGTACCTATTTGTCTTGATATCCCTGTGACAATTCTGTCCCAATAGAAAAAAAAATACAAAAGGGATGAGTTTGAGTTTGTCCTATGCATCTACCTAAAGAATTCCATGACGACTTGAAATGTTGTGTTGAGACTGGGGCGGGGCGGGGGAGACGCGGAGGCGAAGCCAGTGCTCCAACCAGCAGATGTGTTGTGTTCTTAACCGGCCTCCGTCTTAGAAATATCCATCCATTCCTCACAACATGCAAAGGGCACAGAGCCCAAGGTAGAGTGTGAAAGAAGATCTTTCGGTGACGCAGTGTCTTAGTCGTGACTCGGAATTATTCATTAGGGTTAAAAAAACCAAACCAACCCCAAATCAGAAGCCCCTATCGCTCCATGGTGAGACTGATGATCTTAAGGTGGAAGAGATGGGCTGGTGAGCATCTCTCTCCATACTACTTGCTGTATCCTTAAGGGGGCGGGGCCTCGCGGCTCCACTTAACTTCTGAGAGGTCAGGGATCCTAGGTATTTGCTTCTGTGTTTCTTTTTCCAACTAGACAGTGAATTCCTTGAGGGAACAGGTGATCCCCGTTTGGCCTTTCGGGCTCTCAGGGAAGCCACAGGCCTGGAGGAAGACGCTAGGAAAATGTTGTATTTTGGAACGAGAATGGTTTACAAACAACCAGGGCTGCCTGTAAACACGGGAGTCAAGACTCCTGTTTATTTATTTTTTTAACAGAGCAAACACAATTTTGACAATTCTGATTTCATGGTAGCTGGAGTCTGTGGGGGGACGGGGTGCTGCTGAGAAGCACTGAGCCAGTGGGAAACGGGTGGGGGGTGCGGGCGTGGAGAATGGCGGGCGAGGGAAGGCGGTTTATTATCTTCCAGAAGCCAGAGATTCAAAACAGATCTTGTCCACGTGTCTGACATCAAAGCGAGGCCAATGCTGCGCTCTTTGGCTCTAAGGGGGGATTCGACATCACTTTCTCCCCACCCCCCTTTTTTTGTCTGCATTCCCAGATGCCACCCTGCATCCTTTGGCTTTTATCCTTTTCTTCCACTTCAAATCTGTGACTCCCTCCCTTCCCCCTTTTAGAATTTCTCTGGCCCTGGTGATGATAACAGGTTCTTCTTGGAAAACCCCAAATCGCTTCCACATCCCAAAGTCAACTGATGAGCGGCCTTGACTGCACCCGGCACGCTTAGTTCTCCTTGTTGAATGGCAGCCCCTCTTCACATGGTCTGGGGTGCAGGTTTCTGGGAGAGCCCTTGGCTCCCAGCACCCCCCATTCTACACTTGAGGACACTTGAGCTTGGACAGGTTAAGTGAATTCCAATTGTTTGTTCCACAGGAGGGGGGAAAATACAAATCTCCTCAGATCAGGCCAGCTGTTCTGAGAGCCCTAAGCAAGACTCAGCTGAAGGTGAGGGACTTTGCCTCCCTCCCTCCTGTCCTCCCACGGCCCTTTGTGCCGTGTTCGCAGCTAGACTGAAGGACAGTCTAGCCACGGCCTGGCTTCCGAGCATGGATTTTGCCCACGTGGCGGGAGCAGCAGGAACCCTTGAGAAGTGCGGCTGCCATGTCCCATTCGGAGGCGGCTGAGCTGGGTCACCAAGGGCCCCAAGAGTCTGAAATCATGGAATTTCTCCCTGAGGGAGGGAGGCCTGGAAGGGGGGGGAGCTGAGGGGTCCCCGTGTGCTGGTTTACAACTGACAGGTGCATCAGCTGCCCGGCTGCTGCAGTGTTTCCCAGAATGCATACGCTGTTGGAGCTGGACGGCTTTGTCCGCTGCCGGCTTTCTATACGCACGAAGCTGGTGACTGTCGGTGTCGGGGGAGGGGGTGACCCAGGAGGGCGCCACAAGAGGTCACAGGGCAGACCCACGCAGGACTTACACACATGAGATTTTCACTTGGAAAGAGCAAACCATGAACTGGGGGGGGCACCCGAGAACGGGGCCAGGGGCCCATTCGCCCCCTTCATCTCTGTCTGAGCACGCCAAGCTGGACTTAGGCTCCAGGGCAGGGCAGCCAGCCTCTCCTCCTTCCTTGGCTCTTGGAGATGGAGTGTGGAACTCAGTACTGAGACCTGGAGCGGACACGGGGCGGGGGGGAGGGGGGCGGCCTCGTCCGTGGAGGGAACCGCAGTGCTCAGTGGGCGCAGCCCAGAAAGGCCGTCTGGACATAGCATCATCCGCAATCCTTCATCCCCAACAACCGACGGTGAAAAGGAACCTAGTCTCGGGGAGATGGATGACAGCCGAGCCAGGCGTCTGTCTGTCTCCCAGGTGAGAGACACCTGCGTGCCACCCTCTGGGGCCCTGGGCGGGGGGGGGGGGGGGGGGGGGAGGGGCGGTGGGAATCACCAGCCAGCCGTGTCGTTTTTCTAGAAAGCACTGCACACATCTGGCTTAGTGTTCTTTTTCTTTTTTTGCTCAAGGCGAACACTCTACAGCGCCATGGCTGGTTTTCTGGTGTTCCTCAGAGAGAAGACTCTCACAGACTTTCCTGCCCCGGCTGGCTTTGAACCGCCATCCTCAGATGTCAGCCTCCTAGGTAGCTAGGATGACGGGCGTGAGCCACCGAGCGCCTCCTGAGAGACACCCGTAGACAGTGCTCACCGCTTGCTGGCCCTGGGCAGGCGGGAGCCCTCATGCGCCATATCTGGACCCACAGAAACTGACCCGCCGCCTCGCTGATGGAAGAATCAGAGAAGCACAGCAGCTGCTGCCCAGGTCCTCCGTCCCACAGGGGGCGCCACCAGGGCTGCGCAAGGTAAACCTTCTAGTATGTAGTTAAAAAGTGTGTGTGTGGGGGGGTGGATGTGGGACAGGGAGGGAAGTGGGGGAACTCAAGGTGACCTTTTAGATAGGGAAGGTCCAACGTGAGAGATTTTTTGTTTTTCTTTTAGAGAATTTAACACTCACCTGAAAAAAAAGCTGAAAATGACACCTCTTTTCTTGCTCTCCAACAGCTCCTGAGGTGCATGGGGTTGGATGAAGAAGGAACGTAGGAGTGGAGGGAGAGGCCAAGAGGTAAGGTCCTGGCCCCTCAGCCCTGTGTCCAGGTGGGCCAGAAGGGAGGGAGTGTGTGTGTGTGTGTGTGTGTGTGTGTGTGTGTGGTTTCCAGAGGGTATGGGGGTGTCCCTTTAGGATTAAGGGGTTTATTTACATTGGTCAAGTTCATGTTTGCCAGACATACCCTGGTAGCCTCTTGGGGTGATTGCCAGAGGACAAGTGTGCAAGGTACACCGTGAGCGTGGAAAGCCCTCCAGGCTCCCAGTGCTTTATCAAGGGGAGACATACATACATAGAGATGTGTGTAGGCACGCATAGGTGCGTGGTCACCACAGTCAGGTTTTTTCTGGGGCCTGTAGAGGCCAGGCTGGAAAAGTCCCAGCATTCAGCATCACACTAGCAAGTTATTTATTTCTGGTTTGCTGGAAACCAATTGAATCCATTTATCTTAGCTGCCTCAGACCGCTGTCATCAATGTGGTAGGCTGGGTAGCTTATTGCCTGGGAGACGTTTGTTTCCCTTGCTTCAGGGGGCTGTCCTGGTCTTACATGAAGCTCACTCATTCCGCTCATGAGGTCTCTACCTTTGTGACTGATTTCCTTCTTCTTCTTCTTTTTTTTTTTTGGTCAGTCATGGGGCTTGAACTCTGGGCCTGGGCACTGTCCCTCAGGCTCTGCAGCTCAAGGCTAGTGCTCTACCACTTGAGCAACAGCACCACTTCTGTTTTTCGGAGTGGTTTATTGGAGATAAGAGTCGCACAGACTTTCCTGCCTGGGCTGGCTTTGGACTGTGATCCTTAGATCTCAACCTCCTGAGTAGCTAGGATGACAGGTATGAGCCACTGGCACCCAGCCTGATTTCCTTCTTAAAGTCCCTTCCTGGGCAGGAAGTTGCAACGGGAATTTGGGAGAGATTCACACATTTAGTCCGCAGCACTATTTCTAGAATTTTTGTTGTGCATCACTTTTCTGGTTTTAATCCTAGTTAGCCCCAGAGTTGGATAATGACTGTCATGTAAATGTATTTTGAAGATGTGACAAGATTATGAACATTATTTTTTAAAGTTATCAAATGTATCCACTTGATGATTCTTCATTTTCTTTGACTCTTTCATTAAACTATGCATTTGTTTATGAAGTAGAGTTTAGTGTTACTCTTGGCTTCTGTGTGTGTATGTGTGCCTGTCCTGGGGCTTGAATTCAAGGCCTGGGTGCTGTCCTTTAGCTTTTCTCTTTCTTTCTTTTTTTTCATACAGATTGTACTATTAATACATCTCATGAAATAATAATTGCTCAATACCATCTATTTCCCTTAGATTTTTTTTTTTTGGCTCAAGGGCTAATTCTCTACCATTTGAGCCACAGCTCCACTTCTGGCTTTTTGCTGACTAATTGGAGATAGGACTCTTAATGGACTTTCCTGCCCTGGCTGGCTTTGAACTGTGATTTTCAGATCTCAGCCTCTTGAGTAGCTAGGATTATGGGTGTGAAACACTGGCACCACATTTTTTTTTTTGAGAAATAAAAATCAGTTTGCCCCTTTTCCCCCAACCATTTGTCCACAAAACAAGAAGGTCTATGATGTTGTAATGATGTGGGGAGCGGAGTCTTCCGGCATCCGCTCTTGCTCTCTCCTCTTTATAACACCATGGGCTCAGCAAACACTTGATAAATATTAGTACCTTCACCGCATTATTTTTTGGTTGCTTCTAGGTCCAGAGTCCAGGAAAATGTCACTGGGAAGGAGCCAGCATGGAGCCACACAGTGTCCCTCCCTCTACTATTGTAGTTTATATGTGAGCTAGGAAGCTTACATTTAAAATAAAAAGAAATAAATAATAAAGCTGGAAGGAATGATTTTTTTTTTATTTCTTTAAAATTTTCTTCGTGGCTGGGCGCCGGTGGCTCATGCCTGTCATGATAGCTACTCAAGAGGCTGAGATCTGAAGATTGAAGTTCGAAGCCAGCCCAGGCGGGAAAGTTCATGAGACTCTAATCTCCAATTAGCTACGAAAAAAACAAAACAAAACAAAACAAGCCAGTGGAGCTGTGCAGATCAAGTAGTAGAGCCCTAGCCTTGAGCATAAAAGCTCAGGGACAGTGCCTAGGCCCTGAGTTGAAGCCCCAGGACCAGCACACACACACACACACACACACACACACACACACACAAATACAAAGCAAAAAAAAAAAGTGTACTCCCTGGCAAAGATTCCCCTCCCCTCTCTGACTCCTGGTGAGGGTGGGGAGGAAGGGAAGGGGCCATTCTCCGGGGCCGCTTAGCCAGCTGCCACTTGCTGCTTTCAGCCAAGGTCCTTCCTGTTTGTCACCCACTGGCGTTCCTTCCAATCAGTGGCATAGAACGTGCAAGAATGTTGTGAAAGTGGACACAGTACGGTGCGTTGGTAGAGGTGCTACCGCAGGTTCTCAGGGTGACAGTGAACGAGGTGTCCTCTAGCCTCTCCTCCTGGGACACACCTGGCTAGCACTTGCACATCTCAGAAGGTGTTACTGCACCAATACTGAAGGAACCATTAGAGGGGTTTTTTGTTTGTTTTAATTTTTTTTTGGGTCCGGTTGTGGGGCCTGAACTCTGGGCCTGGGCGCTGTCCCTCAGCTCTTCAGCTCAAGGCTAACCCTCTACCACTTGAGCCACAGCACCACTTCCAGCTTTTTTCTTTTTGCTTATGGGGTGCTGAGGAATCGAACCCAGGGCCTCAGGCATGCAAGGCAAGCGCTCTACCACTGAGCCACCTTCC